AAGACATTTCCTTTGCCGCTCTCAACACCCTTATTGCCGAAAAACACATCCCCAAAGGATTCACCTCTCTCCCTGATACGAGATACATTCTCCGGCCCGAAGCTATTGAATCAGTTTTCATCCTCTACCGAACCACCGGCCGGAAAGATCTCCCAGCCAAGGCGTGGAAGATGTTCAAAGCTATTGAGTCCCACACCAAAACCGAGTTAGCCAACGCGGCACTATCGGATATTACTCGCTACGACCCTGACAACGAAGACGAGAGCAAAAGGTACCCGGAGAAGACAGACTCGATGGAGAGTTTCTGGCTGGGGGAGACGCTGAAGTATTTCTACTTGATGTTCAGCGAGCCGGACTTGATCAGTTTAGATGAATGGGTTTTCAACACAGAGGCTCATCCATTGAGGAGGCTGGTGCCTGATTTGAAAGGTCTGTTTGATTAAGGAAGGATGGTGTAGGTGAAGGTGAGGAGAAGGAGGTACCTGGATATACACAGTATAATGGGATGTGAATAACAATTAGTAATAGTATGAGACTTTGTCTTGAAAAGTGCCATCAAATATGTCATGGCGTGTATTTGGATGGTGGTGGGTTCTTATTGACCACCAGAGGGGTGAAAGCAAGACTGTTTTATGAACCTGACGATGAGTGCGAAAGTCTTGTTGCAGACAAGTGACCACAATCATATAAACATTAACTTTGAGAGCTAGTTCACTGAGAAAACCCTCTAAATTTAGAGGTATCAAATTTAACAGCACGTGGGTCGCGCTTGACCATGTGGAACTTAGCTTCAAAGTTTACGGTTTTACATAATTATGTGACCTTTTTACCCCGCAGACTTTGAGAGTTTTATCCTTCATTTCTTCCACTTGAGTAAAACCGCCTTCACCAGCAGCCAGCCCCTCAGATGCCACCTGCAGGAGCAGTCTTTCCAGTTGACCCGCCAAGGGGCCACGGGAGGGCACTCTCAGGAGACTGAACACAAGACAAGTCTGACGGTCTCTACCCCACCTGTCCTAGCTCCAATCGGTGACAATTGTGTATTGTCAATTCGATGCAATTCAATTTTGTGCCGGCAAGACAAGATGGCATATCACACCGAACCCTAACCCCGCGACTTACAACCCCCTTGGCCCCACCATCTCCTTTGAAGACTGCACTCGATCATCCAACATAGAACACCATTTCAGATCCCGAAAGCCGAATATCACGGCGGGAAGACCAGAAAGAGCACTAGTTTACCACGTCGCTTCTTTGATCGAGCAGTATCAGGGGGGAAATAGCGCCGTTGGCATTGCGGGGCAGTAGCGCTTAAGCCTTCACGTCATCGGCCGCTGAGCACGCCATCCCCCAAATCGATATCGCAATCATCCCAAATGCGTTTTCCTGAACGGAATCCCAACGCCCAGCACCGATGTCACCCGGGAGAAGGCGGCCGAAACGTGGATGCATCATGGCCTCTTCCAATGGGACGCCCGCCCCATTGCAGATGATAGCCTCTGGACCCAGCCCTGGGATAATCACGCAATTGACAAGATCCCCTGGTCGATCGAGGATGCTATGTATTTATAAGCTAGACATGTAAGCCCCATCAACGGGCATTCCTCTTATCAGATCAACTTGTTTAGCAGTCATCACCTAGCACTTCCCAAATCTCTCCTACACGCCACACCAACACACACACATACACAATGGCACCCGGACTCCTAGTAGAAGAGCCTGCTGCTCGACTTCCCCAAGTCACCAAGAGCAACAACGATGCTCCTCGCCACATCTTCCCCGATGGCATCCGCACATCTGGCCAGCACCCCCCACTCTACAACGTCCTAAAGCCCTACTCTGAGTTCCCCAAGGAGATCACGGGCCGCACTGTATGGAAGCGCGACGACTTCGTCAACAACCCCGAGAAATGGGTGCATCCATTCACAGATGAAGAGGTCGCTGAGCTATCCGCCACCGCCGACGCCTTCATCGCCAGCGGCACTCCCCTCACCGGCATCTCCAAGGAAAACTTCATCCTCCTCAAGCTTGGCAAGGTCTTGACGGACCTCCGGGAAGACCTCCTCAACGGCAAGGGCTTCATTCTGTTCAAGCGCTTTCCTGCCGATGTCTGGGGCCCAGAGAAGAATGCTGTTGCTTACATGGGTCTCGGTACATACCTTGGATACTTTGTCTCCCAGAACGGCCGTGGCCACGTCCTCGGTCACGTCAAGGATGTCGGCGATGACCCGACCCAGATCCACACCGTCCGTATCTACCGCACCACCGCCCGCCAGTTCTTCCACGCCGATGATGGTGATATTGTCGGTCTGCTGTGCGTACACCGTGCTCAGGAGGGTGGCGAGAGCGATATCGTCTCTGTTCACAACGTCTGGAATATCCTCCAGAAGGAGCACCCTGACGTTGCCGAGACTCTGGCCAAGCCAATCTGGTACTTCGACCGCAAGGGTGAGGTCAGCGATGGCCAGGAGGAGTGGGTTCGCCAGCCCATTGTCTATATTGAGAACGGTGGCCAGGGCCGTCTCTACTGCAAGTGGGATCCTTACTACGTTAAGTCGTTGACCAGATTCTCCGACAAGGGTCTCATTCCTCCTCTGAGCGAGGAGCAACTTCATGCGCTCAAGGTGCTTGAGGATACCTGCCAGCAGGAGGCTCTGCACATGGTTTTGGAGGTTGGAGATATCCAGTTCTTGAGTAATGCTCACTTGCTGCATGCTCGCACTGCTTACAGGGGTAAGTTTTTCTCTCTCTGCCTCTTGAACCTTTAACTGTTCCCGTGCTAACTTTGAACAATAGACTTTGCTCCCCCGGCTCCCAGAAGACATCTACTCAGGCTTTGGCTCGCCACTCCTGAAGGCGAGGGCGGCTGGGCTCTTCCAATGCCCGACAGCCATGAGAAGAAGCGTGGTGGTATCCAGGTGAACGATACTCCCCCTCGTGCTCCGCTTGATGCCGAGTAAATGGTTGGATGGATTGGGAAAACAAAAAAGAAATGAACAAAAACATAACACTGTAAACAAGGAGAGGTGCTTAGATAGCATGCTTTACTCATGTATTTATAAAATGGCGGGTCTTGGCGAATTGATGATACCAATTATTTTCATTCAAACTCGTTTCGATATTGGCAGGAAATAGCCTTGGCGGCTCTCATTCCTGGCTGACCTTGGTTGCTCCAAGCCCCTGTTACTTGAAGTCAACTCTATTTCACTGATGGGGCTTCACCAATTTTGGCCCAGGTGCGGAACACCTCTGGATGTGCCCGTCCTTTTGGAAAGTTCTCTTCACGAGGCTTCTATTAGACTTTTTGTATTGGTTGACGTTGCAGGGATTATGGAAGGTAGACAGACTGTCAGTCACCACGCTATTAGAAAATGTTTTTGTTGAAAGCGTAGGTAGAAAAGCAAGGTGTTACCTGAGTCCTCACTCCTTTCATCAACAATATTTTTCTCAGACTTTGATACTTCTATCAACTCAGTCTTCTTCTCTTTTCTACAAAGGTTCAACCTTCGGCTACCTAGCTACCTACATTTCAAGGGTTTCTCTTTTATTCACCAACGATCAAAACAATCCTTTCTCACCTACCGACAATTGAAGCCTGCCCTTACCCATATCCAAAGGGCCTCCTCTTCTACCTACTGAAGGCCACAACCACTGCATCTTCTCTCACCCTCCCGACAATTGAAGTGTTCCACACGCAAGGCCTTCAACTTTTTGCCTACCTACCCACTAGCAGTCAAGTTTTTACTCAACCATCACCCTCTAATCCATCTTTCAATCACTACGTTTAAAAACTAAGCGATAACTAATGACACAGCTAAAGAACCTAAAACTGCCTACTAAACCTAAAAAATGCCGTCCACAAATGACACTACCCCACCTAGCAGCGCCCCCCACTGGGCCCCCTCTTCACTGAGAACCTCAGGCGAAACCCAGAAGGGAACGAAGCGGTATGGGAGGATTTTCACCAGCTGAGCAACGCTGAGCAGCTGGCCGTTGTGAGGCGGATGGATATTGGGCCTGATCAGGTTCCGTGGGATGAGGAGCTGGAGGTGCTGCCTGAGGGTGCGTTTGAGATTTCGTGATATAAGGACGTGGAGGAGAGGCCGGTGGAGTTAGTGAAACGAAGGCTGAAGGAAGGGGAGGATATAACGTGTGTGATTTGTCTGAATGAGATGGATGGGGATAGGGAGGTGAGCGAGTTGCCTAGGTGTGGGCATGGTTTTCATGGGGGGGATGTTGAGCCTTGGTTGGTAGGAGGGGGGTGATACTTTTCCGGTGTGTAGGGCTAGGGTTAAGGAGGGGAATACTGAGGAGGAAGGGGAGAATGAGGAGGAGGATGATATGGATTGGAAGCCGGCAATGGAGAAACTAAGGATACCATTTGTTTCAGGGTGGCGGGATGTAGAGGCGTTTCTTCGTGAGCCCGTATGGTCTGTATTTACATTGATTGGTAGACCAGTGGGTTTAGAGCAACAAGCAGCGGGCAGCGAAGCGGTACTGGTGGTGGCGGAGAAGAGGCGGAGGAGGAACAGACAGAGGAGGAATGGGAAGGTTTTAGTGATCGATCGGGCGGCCACTCTTTTTCCTTAATCCGTAAAGCAAAAAGCCGGGAAGGTTTGGATAAAGACAGCGATGTACGGTAAGGTTGAGGGTTTGGAGACGATTGTAGTACAATCCACAATCAGCTTCATCGTCATCATCAGCATTGCGGAACACTGGAAGGAAATTGGTTTATTCATTGGCACTTCGCACAAGACATTGACTATTATATACATCTTTAAGTGCAATATCTCATCTAATGTGCATATATCCTCAATCAGTGGCATGGATCATAACCGCACGACTAACATGACTTTGACCTTATCAAAGAATTATGATTACCTCGCAGAAACCGCATTCAAGCAAAAGAAGTGGCCAGCATATGACATTATTGTCGTACTTAAGAGAACTGGAACAAGAGTAAAACAGAAAATAACGACGCTGAAAAACACAAACGCTCGTGACAAGCCAGGAGTCGAACCTGGGTCTTCACTCAAACTCTGGAATATAATAACCGCTATACTACCATGCCGCGAAAACATTTCCAGAGAATTAAAATTAAGTAGGCATTGTGGTCTGTTTGTGTGGAGGGATGATGTCTGTGGCGCTCTCTCAAGCTGGTTCTGTCAAACCTTGAGAGCCCCCCTATCTGTCCAGGAACCGACCCGGTTGCTGCCACTTGGTACCCCCCCGGCCGTGCTTACTCCTAGGTATCCTCTACCATCTATCCCCTCCTGCTGTTTCCTTCCCCTTCCCCTCCCCCTTCCCTTCCACAACAGGACTCTCCAACCTCCAAAGCTCGATTTCAATCCCTGCCACCTCTCCCTCCTCCCCCAACGCCGGGGTCACAATCCCAACGCTGACAATCCCATTCAACCACCCATACCCCTTATCCGTCCCAGCTTCAAACCTCACCCGAGTATGCAACACCCCATCGGGCTGCTGCGGCCCGTTCGCCTCGACGTAGATGTCTGCTCCGTTGGTGGTGTGGAGTTGGTACCGGGCGTCGATGTAGAAGTTGCCTAAGTTGGGGTCGCCTAGGCCCCAGTCACCCTATGAGAAGAAGTTTGTTAGCATATGTGTAAGAGGAACGGTGACGATAAGAGAGTTTACTACATACGCCAAAGGCCGGGATGGTAGCGTTGAAGAGAGGTCCGGTGAAGGTTCCTCCGGCGATGGGGAAGATATTGCGATTGCCGAAAGGGCCGGGGCCGATGGGGAAGGGGGCGGAGACGGAGATTGTTGCTTGGCCGAAGTAGGAGAGACCTGGGGAGGGAGGAGTGGAGGCAAGGGCAAAAGGGAGGAGATGTAGGAGGGTAGAGAGTTTCATTTTGAGGGTTTCGTGCTTGTAGGTTGGCTTTTTGTTTGTATGGTAATATTTTCCAGAGCCTGAAATGGCCAGAACCGCTCTACTTATGCTTGTTGGGAACCATCCTATACTCAACAGCTGTGTCCATCTATGGCATCACCCCCTATATCGTGACATGACTCCAGAGCCGCACGAGGCCAAACTGCCAGTTTCCAAGCATAGTCGGTCCGACGCCATAACCTTTTGGGAGGTTATCATTGGGAGGAGTGCTTGACATCTCCCGTGCCAAGTGATTTATAACGGTTCTCATAAGCATGTCCGCCACTTTAGGAATTTGATATTCACCTCACTGCAAGACTTATGCAGACACTTAATCAGCCATCTCGCCACCATGTGAAGAGATCCGACAAACAGGGACCAAGTCCGAGGAGTATCATGATTTGTGGCCTTTCCCCAAGAGTTTGCATCTCAAGAAGCCCTGTATTTTGATAAAATGCCATGGAATGGGGAATGGATATTAGGTGCATCGTCTATGGGAACATGAAGCTGTCGGCATACCTAATCATGATAGGGTTGGTGAGCAGCAGCCACTTTGTTTGCCATTCTGCATTGGTTTGCTCAAAGGGGCCACCTGATTTTAATGAGTCCATGTCTATAGAGAAGCCTTCAGGCTACTATGTGTATTTTGATCTCGGCGATTCTGCTGTCAGTCGTCTCACCAGTTAGCCACCAAAGCTTGGGTTGACATTTGTTTCTTTCAGCCCTTAGCAAGATTTATCGGCCACTTCTGTTGAGGGAAACGCTGATATCATCAAAGGTTAGATCCGTTTGTCTATGTTCAAGATCTGTTTGGCTTGCGCATAGACAGCTTAATGCAATGTGCCAAAGGTGGAAACAGATTTGTGGCACAGCAACTTTCACCAGATCTTACCCAGTTTTTGACTGAGGATAGTTTTACATAACGAGTGTATGATTGCTGAGCAAATTCTGCTTCTGTGTAAGCATTGTTGGGCTAATTATTTTGGGCGATCTTTACTATGTCTTGTTTTGTCTGAGAGACATCATATCGTCAAGAATTACAAGAGGCAAGGCAACTGGTGATGAGAGGAAAAGCTTGAAGTTGGACGAACACAGGCTGCTGCGCCACATTCAGGATTCACAATCGTTGGGGAAGGCACACCGTCACGCCCTGGAAAAAACGATTGGTACTGCAAGTAAGTCAACACATGACAACTATCTAACCTATACCTCTTGTGGCATTATATAGGCCTGCTAACCATCTTTGAAGGTCTGTTAAGTATCTTGAAGGCCCATCAACTATTTTCGAGGGATTATTAAGGATATTCCAAGGCATGGTTTGGAGGGTCATCATATATTAACCTGCTTTGCAGTGCCTGTATTTTCGACCACAACGTGGCTGGGAGGTCAACACTTGAAATAAGGTGGGGGTGGGTTGCAGTTTCTGCCTGAAAATGCGACCAACCCAATTGTGCCTCAGCTGTGCAGTTGGCTTCCCCGCCGCTCTTCACCACAACCTCGGCTGGCCAAGATCCATCAGATCAGCGATATTCACACTATCTGATAATTCATCTCAACTGGGGCAACATGGATCCCCTCACATCCATCAGCCTGGTCGCCAATATTGCGGCCTTTATCGATTTCGGTTTCAAGATTGTGGCTGCTGCTCGCGAGGTAAAAAGCTCCACCACCGGGACAACTACCATCAACGTCAATGCTGAAGTTCTTACCGTCAGCCTCCGCGCAGCTGCGGTGAATATAAAACGCTCTCAACTCACATTAGACTCTACATCTGACGATGTGCATCTGAGCAAGCTCGTTGATGAATGTGAGCGTCTATCAGAAGAGCTCCTTCGCCTGTTGGGTTCCCTGAAGGCCAGGAAGCCCGGCTCAAGGAGACATGTTCTCCGCATTGCGCTGAATAATTTGATGAAGAAGAGTGAAAGGGAAGAGCTGGAAGTGCGATTGGATAGATGTAGGAATCAGCTGCAACTTGAAATTGTTCAGAGGACAAAGTAAGTTGACATACACCCTTTACTGATAAGGTTAACACGAATGAGCTGCTGAGACTTGCTGACATCCATCTAGTGAGAAATCTCTACAACGCCTTGAAGCCATTGCAAAGACTGGCGAGTGCCAGGCCGACGAGCTGGCTATCATCAAGAGCAGCCTGCACAGCTTGCATTCCACTACGCAAACCACCAAACTCGATTCTGCCTCGTTCCAAGGGTTGAGCACCTTGCTGAGGCTTTGCGGTCAAGCCTTTGAAAGCGTTGCCCTATCAAAACTCTTGGCCTCCATTGGATTCGAGAAAATGTCTGACCGGCTGGAAAATATTGCAGATGCCCATGCCACGACTTTCAACTGGCTTCTGGATGATTCAGAAGCCGTAGACCCTAAAGCCTCTTTGGGTGATCCGGAATCTTTACAGGCACAAGAATGGCTGCGCTACACGGAAGTCCAAGACTCATATCGCAAAACATCTCGGGAAGCCTTAACGTCGTGGCTCTCGGAGGGAAGTGGGATCTTCCACATATTTGGCAAGCCAGGGTCCGGCAAATCCACTCTGCTAAAGCACCTCCTCAAGCACCTCCTCAAGCACCCTACTGCTCATGATTTGCTGCAAACCTGGGTTGGTAACAAAGCACTGGTGAAAGGCTCATTCTTCTTCTGGAAAGGTGGTTCGACCGGCCAGAAGAGCATCTCGGGTCTTTACCGATCTCTTCTCTGTTCTGTCTTCAAGCAGTGTCCTGAGCTGGTTTCATTAATTGTTCCTTCGCTCTGGCAACTCTGCGTCCAGGGAGGTAATGTAGAGCTGACAGACTCCGAGGCGCGCAGCGCATTTCTTGATTTGATTGGACGAGAAAAGGTGTTTGCAAATCAAAAATTCATATTCTTCATCGACGGTTTGGATGAGTTCGAAGGAGATGACACAGGCCTGGTCCGCACACTTCTCGATTGGACACGACTCAGACCTGACGGTATCAAAATCTGTGTTTCAAGTCGCGAGCTCCCATTATTTCAAGAGCGATTCTCGTCATATCCCAAGCTTCGCCTACATGAAGTCACAAGCCTCGATATCATGGGTTACGTTAAGAGCACGCTTGAAGAGAATGAAGATCTATCTTTCACGGTCGATCATAGCCTCACACTACGGCTAGGTCAGAGAATTATCGAAAAAGCGGAAGGAGTGTTTCTGTGGGTTTCCTTGGTGCTCCGGGTTGTTGAACGAGGTATCCTCCAGGAAGACAACCGCAAAGACCTGGAAGCCAAGATTGACGGCCTCCCTACTGAACTCGAAGAACTATTCAAAGTAATATTCAAAGCGATAGAGACGGAGTCTCATCCCATCGATAGGCGCCGGGCCATGATCACTCTATCTCTCTGCTTGACACGGACAGAGCACCATCTATCAAGCCTTCCCCTCTATCAGCTATCCTTTCTGGACGACTACGAATCAGATTGCAATTTCGTGTTCAAGATCCTAGGCCCAATGGGGGACAAAGAAGACGAAGAGAGGTTAAGGCGATGTCGAAAGCAAGTCAACGGACGATGCAGAGGACTTGTGAGCGTGACTGCCTCAAGACCCCCCGAACCAGAGGTGGTGATACCGACAAGAAGAGCCGAATTAGTTACGATTACACACCGCTCACTCTTAGAGTTCTTTTCGAGACCAGAGGTCCGCGCAGTGATTGAACTTCAGACTCGAGGATTTAGTGCGACACAGTTTAGTTGCCGATCTTTTGTCGCTCAGCAGGTAACGGAACCGAATCCAAATTCGGTACAGGAATCACACCTCCACACCGACCTCATAACACTATTCAAGATCGTATGGTACGCTGGTGCCATGTACACGCCCACTGTTACACAAACACTTCTAGATTTGGAGACAATTCCATTTCTTTCATCTTCAGTTCAAGTCTTGGGGTCCGAGCGATATCGCTCAGCCGACTACTCCTGGCCTTTTCTCTGGGTAAGGGGGTGCGTATCTCATTATATGGCTACGACTCAGGATAACCGCACAGTTGCTGACCTTGTCATCTTTCTGGCTCTGAAATATGGGCTGCCCGAACTTTTGGCCCCGACGGAAGCACTCAAGGGAGGGGTACTTGCTCAAGCTGCCCGGAATCTTGGGTCGCAACAGTTATTAATGCGCGCCTTTGAAACCTTGGTGGGAATGCATAAGTACTCTTGGAATGAGTTGT